TTCTCCTCGGTTAGTGAACAGTGATACAGGTATCACCTTCAAAGAACCAATTCACTCTACAGGCTATCAACATTGAGGACCAATTGCTCCCTAGGCAACAGTTGAAAATGAAAAGCGAAAATCCAACTTTGTTCAGTAGGTCCTAGCTTTAACAGATTACAAGATGTAATGCAAGTTCCTAGAGGGTGATTTTTCAGTGAATATATTTAAATTGGCTTATCATTAACGGTAACCTGCACTGGAAGTAGAGATAAACTCATCAGTGTTAGCACTAACAAATGGACATGAGTTTGGTCAGAAACCACCAGGATACCAGAAAACAGTTTTGTCTAAAATTAATCCCTTAAAAACATAGAGACATCTCAAAATGTTTCATGGACATAACTTGCAAGGGGAAGGGCAGTAGCTCCCCATGCAAGCAAGTTATGTTAGATTAACCTTACAGCAATTCTCATTGTCTAAAGTTACTAGTTTTTATACACTTTCTGTCTTTGCAATATGGAAAATTAGTAATTTAAATTGAAAACAGTGAATGGGGATGGATATTCAACTAAATGATGTAACAACCATCCAATCACAAATTAGTAGCATCTCCTCTGCATTTCTGAATCTGACAACTTCTATACTCTGCTTCTAGGACTATTGACAAACCAATTTGAAAAGGGCTAGGTTGAGTAGTGGCGCCGCAGGAAAAGGAATAATGCCGTTGAAGCAGCCACAACATATGGCAACGCAGTCCAAATTCCCTGCAGGATTTTAATACATTAAATACCTCTATTTACAAAATCAAATTATCATGAAACACAAGAACTTGTTTACCACTACTGTGGCGACAGTTGCCAGGGCAAAGACAGGACGTTTCCTCATCAGAAATCCAATTCCCAGCTGGACTCAAGAATAAGAAGGGAACATAGCGTTAGTCCTAGGAAGAGCAAGTTGAAATATATAGGGCAGTCAACTACCACGATAGGAGTTGTAGACAGAGATTATAAGTTGCCTTAGATATTTGTAATGACATCCCCAACAGACTTAGCACAAAATACTTTTCTATATACCATTCCATCTAAACATAACTTTAAAATTTCCCAACTAGAGGCAGGCTTTTAATTTTCTTCCAATAATAATAAGTTCAAAGTTGTGTTAAGTATTTCTCCCATTAAAAATATTTCAGACCTAAATTGAAATTTGGTTATCTAAATGAAGAATAAGGATGAGGTGGAATGCAGGGGTGATGGGTTCGATCTTGACCAGAATGTGCTAATATATTAGGCATGAGGGAAAGGAGGAGGTACAGAAAGATGATACCAGAAGGCAGTGAAGATAATAATATGTTAAGAAACATCACGCAGTTGCAGTAATTTATGATAGATGAGTCAACTGTCTACCGCATCCCCAATTCCACAGCTTTTTTCAAGAGAAATCCAACAAAGATTTCTGGTGGAAAACTTAATACACTATCGCTTAAATTTAACTATCATTAACAAAAAAGGCACCTACCCACACCCACCCACACACACATTCAAAGACTAAAACATAGGGATATTTGAATGTGCAAAATAGCATTATTGCCAATAGAAATGCAAGTATATGTAAATGTGTAAAATAGAATTACTGCCAATAGAAAATGACTAACCTGAATTGGAACAGTGACCAAGCCGCCACAACAAACTCCAGCGAAAAAGAATTCAGGTGATATTCCCTTCATTTTATAAAAGCATATCATCAACACAATTGACAGCCAGGAAATAGATATGGTGCATATTACTTAGGAATGGAAAGGCCACGTTAAACAAGCACAGATGAAACAGATGCATCATTGGAATCATTAGATGATACTTCTAGCCATAAGCATGGAATTATCTATGAGCCTGAAATCAGTTAATAACTCAGTTTCCACCTGATTGCATTTGCTAACTTGCAAATTTGATTATTCCCTCCTCAATTCCAATTATGTCAGCTCCGCATTTTTTCTCTCCACGTTACATCTGATCAGTCTTATTACATGACAAAATATATAACAGACCATCATGCCACTCACTTCTCAGTTTATGTCACACCTCACTAAGGACCAAACGCATACTTTCCTATGTTAGTTTCCACTTTCTACCATCTTTGGCATCTCTTCTCATCAGCATACTTTGTGCTAACAACAATGTAATCTTCATTATTGGGAAAGCAGCATCATTATCGAGTCACCAACAATTTATTCTCCACGGTATTATGCTCATTAATGGATATAGATCATCAATTTCTGTGCGTTTTCTAATGAACCCGGCTATGAACTGGTGGTATGCTTAGAAAGCATACTCATGGATCATGTTTAATGAACATATTTACAATAAGCAGAATGTGCCAGTGTTGCTGTGCAGAGAAAAATAGAAGCAGTTACTAACCAGGCACCCTGCTAGGAAAGCCGTGGGATTTCTTACTCCAAAGGAAAATCGCTCTACTGCAGATTAGAATACAGGACCACTAGAAAGAGTAAATTAACTTTCATAAACAAGTATAGGGAAAGCTCACGCATAATGCATCAATAGCAAGTATTGAAGAAATTTGTCTAATATAGTTACAAGTATTCTAAATGTCAAAAACAAAATTGAATATGCAGAGACCATACAACTTTATCTTTTAAAGAATATCACCTGCCTTTGCAATATGGCCTAATGGCATAAAACATTTCAAACTTAACATATAAACAAGTCAAGTGAAGCATGATAATAAATTAAACAACATAATTGAACACTCTAATCTCATTTAAGAAAGCAAGATGTTAGTAGTCTCGTATAATGCAAGAGAAGATGATTCTGATTGAATATCCCCGGTTGAGATATCCTAAATTTGTTCAATAGAAGTTCAATGACTAAACATTATTAATGATTTAAGCAGTAGTATAACCCTTTGTCTAAAGAACAGGCACCATAAATATGTATGAGTCTATTAATATGCATATTTCAGAGAGAACTAATGATTTATCATTACCAAAATTTTATATGCAAAGCAATTCAGGTGCTATATCAGTACCTAGTTATTTAGACAACAGTTTATTAGTTGCACTTGTTATAACAAGGTCAAAGAAATTTTTAAAAGCCTTATGAATATTAACAAGCTAAATGACCGCTATGTCTGAATTGACTTCTACGAATGGCAGCAGTGTGGTCACTCTATAGAATTACATTTTTCCACATGAATCGTGCAAAAAGGCACAGTAATGAAGCTCTTGTAACTCACTGAAGCCTATGAGATTGCCATATTTTTGAACAACCTGTGTGATATGCAACACCTTCTCTTCACCGATCCCTAACTGTAGTCATCATCAATATAAATAAAATAAATAAATTATTATCTTTAAAATGCAGCAAACATAAATATTCCAAATAGAACAAGCTAAATCATAACCAAGCTATAAATTGATATATTTGTGCATAAAATATGTGCTGAGAAATCCTTATGAACTTTTTTCTCTTTTTGAAAAGCTGAAATCCTTAAGACTTGATCAGAAGGAACAAAACAAACCTTTGAACAAACATCATCAGATGCTCCACTTTGTCTAAACAACTTTCCAAAGTAAAATGGTATCATATCACTGATGCAAACTCCCCTGATTTTTCAAGTTGCAACATAACAATAAAGAAGAAAAACAATTAAGAATTATAAGCTACAATGTCTTAGAAAAGGAATAAAGAACAAGTCATAACCAGGTCAGGTACACATTTAGACTCAAAATAATTATAAAATGGTAAAATTTGTGGTTAAAGGTAGATTATCACCAAGGGCTCTATGCCTTGGAGTACTTAGGCCTCAATTTACTTGATAAAGTGGGTCAAGGCTTTTCCTTTCATCCTTATTATCCTTACCTTCCAGGTGTAAGCCTCAAAACTTAGAAGTCTTATACAACCTGAGGTTGAAATTTAAGCACATTGTTGTCGCTAGAGAAAACCTCATCGACCGTATGTACAATCTCATTTCAAACAATGAGCACTAATACATTAATAATCATATTACAAAGTATCAAAGCAATAACGAACAAGATGAAGCAGCCACTAACCAGTATACCCAGAGAACTGTGGATATTATGTATGGGGTGTTCCTTGAGAGAGATTCAACAAAGGAATGCCACGTTCCATCTAATGACAGCATCCGTGCCAAAGTTATTCCAACCTACATTTTTCAAACAAAATTTAAAATTTAAAGATGAGTTCTTAGTTAAAACTAGAAACTTAACGAAAGCAAAGAAAGCCAGCAAATGTTGGAGGCAGTGAAACATAAGTACCAGTTCAAAAGACAGACCCAGATATTTAAAGCCTCTTCACTAATGAAAAGTCCAAACCCAGCAGCCATAAGCAACCAAAAGTAAATCCATCTGAAACATTGCATATAGGGAAAAACTTCAAAAACATTTTATTCATAAAACACATACTTGAGAAGGAGAGGCAGAGCCCAGACAGCTTCTGGGAAACTCACTTCCCCTATTCCCCCCACACCAAAATAAATCTTGAAAAAGCTATCTACTCTGCTGAAAAGACAATGCTTCAATCGTTTCAAATCAGTACATGCAAGTTGCATGGTCATTTGGTCTTTATTTGTGTAAAACTAAATTTCTGAGTGATCGAACTGTAATTTTGTGAAATCAGAATACTCTTTGTATTCCCTTTATTTTTCTCTCTTAAATAGGGGTGCAAACAAGCTGAGATGCTCATGGACAGTTTGAACTCTGCTAATTTAGCAACTTTACTCAGCTTAATTAACAAAATAATGAATTGAGCCAAGCTGAGCTTGAACTTTTAAATTTTCTTTTCAAATGGACCTCAAGCCAAAATCAGGGTGGTAGTAGTACTACTATATAAATACTATTCAGCTTTGACTTGATTCTACGCTAGTGTCAATCTCCAAAGAACTAAAGATAGTGGGTGTAGTTGGAAAATGCATTCTGTATAGATTCCATCCCCACACCATCGCCTTCCCTCCTTCCATGTGCATCCTACCACTTTTCTCTCCTTTAAGACTAACATGTGTTTAACAAAGAAAAGCGTAAAAGAGGAAGAATTTTAGAATTGCAATTTGTTCTAAAAAAATGTGTTCAAAAAGCTGGTAAGAGTTCTGATGATCATTCACGCTCAGCAGCATACCCTGGTGCATATTCTGGAAGTACAAATCTGTATCCAAAAGCTTTGAAGGTGAAACCAAGAGAGGAGTCCATAATTGAAGAGGATGAACCTTCAGCCAGGCGTTGAACTCCTAGCAATGATCCAAAACTAGCCCCCTTGAGGCCAAACGATATGACAGTAAGAGCTGCGGCGACACCTAATACAATTGCTAATTTTGCCAGAAATGAACTTCCTGTCCCATCAGTCCCACTGGTTTGATTTTCAAGTACCTCATCAGCAGCTCTATCTCCTTTCTCCAGCTTATCTTTAGGTTCCGCAGCCCCAATGTTTTCAGTATCGTCATGCTGGAAACTTCTAGTCCTGTTTGTAATAATATGAAATGAATCATTTGTCATGCATCAGTTGCATGAATTAATCAGATAACGCATGACACCACTCTCTAGTATAAAAATGAATTGACGGAGTAACACTAAGTTAAAAACATTATTTCTCTCATTTGATAGTGACTGCACTTGGGCATACAGGGCAAACCTTTTAACACAAGAATAATGTGAAAACCCAGAAATCAGAGCATGTCAAGTGATTGTAAAGATGGAGAAGCAGTGCATACATAAATGGATGATGTCTAGGTGAAGAGGCGCCAGTGATATAAAATTTAACTTCTAATAATACATCAAACTTCAGAACAGTCCTGGCTTAAGAAAAATGGTATTGGTACTCAAACTGCCCAACAAATTTACATTAAATCTATGCGCCTCAATAAAACAATCACTCTTGCTAAAACAAATTAATAGCATAGGGACATTAAGCCAGCATTAAATTCCAGCTACTTGCAACCAAAGCTTAATCCTTAATGATGGAATTTGATAACATATTTTTGGGGTTGGCTCACAAAACCAAGTAGATTGATTAGTGTTCAAGAAAATAAATTTGCGACTTCAAACGGGATGATGAATTACCTAAACTCAAGTTTTAAATTTCGTCCAAAAGCAAGACTACTACTTACTTTCACATCATGACTCGTTTAATGTTTTAAGGAATCTTATTACTAAGGATGTGGGGCTATTGGTGAACCTTGGAATAAGCATTAGAATCCTTGAGCATGCCAGGCATAACAAATGCTATGACAACAAACATTTAAAACTCAACAATCTAGAAAGAAATTTATAATTAATACAATTTTCATTTTTGGATCCCATAAGAATAGTGTATCAAATGGTTAAACAAAAAAAAGTCTTTTAAATAATATTTTAACTATTTTCAGCCAATGCCTACTGGCAACCTGACCCAAACTGAAAAGGCAAACAAATGAAGATACCTGAAAGTTGGCTGTCTAAAGAAGTGATAAGCTGATAACTGTCTGGTATTATCAGCGGAAACTCTATAAGGAGGAACAATGAAGCAGCCAGGCTGCTTTAGAGGTCGTCGTTGGAATGAGCTGGGAACTGGTTTTGGAGGGTATGAGGAGAACCCATTGGAGAAAACTGCAATAACAGACATTTTTAGAAGCTCTGCAACTGATGCCTGCTAGGCCAGGAAGCGAAGTCTGACAGAAATATTGTGAGGTGGAGGGTAGGGGTCTGGGGGTGCACGTGGCTTAGTTTGAAGAGAATAATGGGGATATAACTTTTTTATTACGTACCTGATGTGACATGTGAGATTCCATTATTTCTCTGCAGGGAAAAAGGATCTTGATTTTCAGCCATTGGTTATATATCTTTATTCATATGCTTTCCAGTAGAATGATATTAAAGTATTGATGTACTGATGACATTGTTATAGTAACATGCTTGGTTATTTAATAATTAATTATGTCTCTGTATTTTGTGATTTAATTTTTATATAATAATTTATCAAAATTGAGTTTTTATATTTTGTTATTTATTTTGATTGTGTTAACGTAACATTAAATTTGATGGTGTAATAATGACGACCTCACACTCAAAAATGATGTAATAGTTATAGAGTGAAATTTTTTAACTAACTTTATTCAAATGAATAAAAATTTAAGTAAGTTTGTAAATCTTTTGTTTGATTATTTTTATTTTATCTTTTTAATTTTTTCCCTTTTTTGATTCTCTTACTATTATCTTTGAAATTGAAGTTGTAATCGGATTGAAAAATCCATTATTTATTTATAAAATTACTCTGAATTATAATCAAATTGAAAAATTAAAAAGAAAATGAAAATAGAAATTCAAAATGTAAAATATGATGTAAGAATTAGAGATGGTTTGCTAGAGATGATCAGCATAATTATTGCTTCATTCTTAGATGTTTACATGGTCAAATTCAATACAAAGTTAATATAATCGAATATTCGTTAGTACAAATAACTCAAAAGATTTTAATTTAAATTAACATCAGGTATACAAATTCCACTTTATAAATTATTAGAAAAGATTTAAATCTACTAATTGTATAATTTCACCTTAATTAAAACCACTTGCAAGTGGATCAAGTAACAGTAATTCAAGATTGTACTCACCTTTCCAAACCAACTGTATTTTGGGTTAACTCTTGAGATTGAACAACTGATATATGGTCTAAACGACACCGTTAATCATAACGTATCTAAAAGGCACAAGCAGTTGACGGCAGTAATCTTTGTTCAGGAAACAGACAAAAACCGCCAACAGAAGTGAAAGAGAAAGAGCGTGGCTTTCAACTTATCCAGAAAGCTAGTCAGGCTCGGCCATTTTCCCATTACCGTAACTATCAATACCGTAGAAGTCGACGGCTGTTCCATTCTTGTCCGGCGCCCAGAAATTTCTCCGGGCTACGTGGGGATTCCGGAACCTGACTTCTCTTGTTTCCTTGACGCTTAAGTTCCCACTTCGCCTTCTCAACTGATCAAGTCGATTTCCTGTAAAAGTCCAGGTTTTTATTCACTTATCCTGGAAAGTACGCTGCTCTTCTAAATCTTGAAAATTCCCACTTTTTAATTGTAGGGTCATAAGTCTTGGACTTTGCTTCTTTGTGTTTTTTTCTTTCCCTTTCTTCATGTACTGTTAGAGTTTAATTAAACTTCCATGTTGTTACTGTATTTCTCATGGTGGGTTGTTTTTCCTGGGCTAGTTCTTGGCACCAAATTACAACAGAGATTGCTTTTATTTTCCCTAGTTTTTTACTCTTATTACAGTTACTAGAGTTGCATTTCTGTGGAGATCTTGAGTTCTTCAAATTCTAATGCTTTCCCGTACAATTCCTTCATGGACCTTAATTGGTCTTATAAGAGCTTTTCTTGACGTTGCTGTAGCTTATTTCCTTCTATGTGGATCAACCTTAGGGTTTTTTGCTTGGAAATTTTATCATGTTTTTGGACTCTATTACTTGCCTTGTCCTTGTACTGGTTTTTTTGGGTACCAAAATAGCGACCTCTGCTGGCATATGCTGCTCATTGAATGGCCGGCAAGAAAGATCTATTCTGTTCAAAAGTTGGCTTTGAATAGGTTCCCTTTTAACCTAGTTTGGTTCAATGATCAAGAGTGCAATTTGAATGCCAAGTACATTAAAGATAGAAAATTTGGCAATGGGGTTATTGAATCGGATGGTGAAGTACGTTCTAGTTCACCTTCTGGTTTAAGATTGCGAACTATGGTGGATAAAGAGAGTGGATATGATGCCAAGGGAAAAAAAATTATAAATCAGAAGCAGAAATCTGGAATTTGGCGACGTAGGAGAGCTGCTTTTGGTTATGGAAAATCTTCTCCAGTTTTGTTGTCCAGTAATTTCTCATCAGCTGTCACTGGTGTTTCATGTCCCTCTTATAATGGTGGCGAAAGAAGGAGCGAAATTACTGAACATTTGGGTCCAGTTAGTGAAATAGAACATAGTTTTCCTGGTAAGTAAGAAAAATATCTAGTCCAACATCCTTATAATTGCAATATTTGGTCCAGTTGATAGTTTTAGCTTCAATGTTGGCACATTTTTTTGTGAATTTCTGCTCCATTATAGGATTGCATTTGAAAATATTATGGGTTTTGTCTGCTAAAGTTTTAAATGCTCACTCTAAAATTGGGAAAAGTTTTCTGATTTTGAGCCAATTTAGACTGGCTCTATTTCTCAGTAAATTAAGGATCACTCATTGTGTTGAAGTTTTCATTGAATCTTGGATCCTTATAGGTTACTAGCATTACATGTGTATTTACCTACGTGATCATTCCATTTTAGATAACAAAAATACTCAAACTGGCACTGATGGGGGTGACGGAACCTGGCATGGTTTTGAATTTAGCAATGGAGAGGAAAAGGGTTCAACTTCTATAAAAAAAATCAATTGTTACACCAACGGAAAATTGGGGATTACTGGAGATGAAGCAAATTGGATCAGAATGTTGGAACAAGCTCTTGAGAAAGAAAAGGCTGCATATGCTGCTCTATACCTGGAGTTGGAGAAAGAAAGGGCTGCTGCTGCTACTGCTGCTGATGAAGCCATGGCAATGATTTTGCGTCTACAAGAGGATAAGGCATCAATAGAAATGGAAGCAATGCAATATCAAAGGATGATAGAAGAAAAATTTACTTATGATGAAGAAGAGATGAACATTCTAAAAGAGATCCTTGTTAGGAGGGAGAAGGAGAATCACCTTTTGGAGAAAGAAGTTGAAGCTTACAGGCAGATGAATATTCTAGAAGATTTGCAGCAGGAGCGCGATTTGAGTCATAATTTGAATAAAGGGCAACAAACGCCTTTGGTTTCAGTTGGTTTAGATGAAGATCCACTGCTAATGATGAATCAGATGGGGAATAGTGGATACACTAGAAAGAAGGAAGTGGGCAAAGGTTCTAGTTGGCCTTCAAAAAATGAGGCTCCATCAGCTGGAAAACGAAATCATATTGTGGCTGTCAATTTAGCAGGGAAAGGAAAGGCACAAGTTGATGATGCCATGGTATGCCCAGCAATAGCAACCAAAGCAGCCCAAAATGTCTGTAGCATTGAGAAAGCTTCTTTAAGTGAAGAAGGGCTTGAGAGTAATGCAGAACTTGGGGATCAACTAGGAAGCAATCTGCACAATTCCACACTTGATATGGAACTAGATATATATGATGTCCATGTTGTTGATGATACACTAGACATTCCTAACGAAGAGAATATAAAAGAAAGTACATTGCCAACTTTTTCTGCTTCAGATCACAAAAACTTGCTATGTGACTCAGGGAGGAGTTCTTTCTGTGCTGTCAGTAATGAAAGGTTGGGGATTGATGCCGAAATTGAACGCCTTAGAGGAAGGCTACAAGTAGTGCAAGGGGAAAAAGAGAAGCTGACTTTCTCTGCAGATCAGAGGGAAAGGTTAGATACCCAGTTAAAACTCATTGAGGAGATGGTAAACCAGCTTCGAGAATTTCAGCAGCTAAAGGAGCCTGTTCAACAGAGCTCTGTACCTCCTTTAGCTTCATCTTCTAAGGTGTGTAACATTTCAATTTGACTGTTTATAATTTAATAAACCAAGGGCAAGTGATTGTTGCATTCTTGTTTAGCTATCTTCTGGTCATAATAGCTTTATGCTGTTATTCTTCCAGTAAATTTCCATGTTTGAGTTCCTGAAAGGACAGGAACAAGGAGTCTTGTTTTTCTCCTATAAAAACGACAAAGACATGATTATTAGTGTTAACACAAAATCTTTGTAAATTTAGAGTGCCGGGTCCCCATGGAAAGTGGACTATGTCAAGTGAGTGACTGTATGCAAAGTTCATGTAGTGTATAACTAAAACAAAATTTACCATGAATTTCACAGATGTAACCCTGCTTATTGAGCTTAAATATAGTAAGAAATGACAGCTACGCTTTTTCTTTTACATCAATTGCATAATAATGCTGCTTGTCTTTGTATTTCCTTAGTAAGCAATATCTGGTAGCATTTCAAAAATGTTTCTTTATCTTTTATGAATTGAAATGAAAAAATACCCTTTGAAGATCAATAAACTATTGTTCTATAGAGGGATTCTTTTATCATGTCTAACTCTGTGGGTTAATCACATGATAATTATTGGAAAATATATCTAGAAAAATGTAGGAAAGTTCTTTTCCATGTTTGACTACCATTTTCTCACAAAACTTATCAACAGTTGAGGTGCTTGTATGTCATTCCTTAGAACTTACGTCACTTACTTCTTTTTAGGTAGCATGGATGTGTCTTTTGAGGCCTGATGCTAATATCATTAAGTGTAGGGTCCTTCTCCAGAGAGCACTTCTTTTGTGAGGATTTTAACATTCTATATTTTTCTGCCTGTTGAAGATAATATCTGGTTTTGGTTGTCAAAAGAGCTCCTAAATCAAACTAAATTAGGTGTTGTTTAGATAATTTTAAAGCAGCTTTTTATTTAAAGAACATCAGTATCTCAGCTGTTATCTTGTTAAATAGAAAAGGACCATATGATCATCATGTGAAGTCAATGCAGCTGGAGTAATATAATAATCTGTTTAATAATAATTTACATATCTTATAATTTAGCAGATTGTTAGGAATTTGAATTTAAGGGTGGGTTCATGAAGCTGTATCTATGTATAATTTCTGAAATTGAGAATTTTTCTTAATACCAATTGAGAAAAGAATGCTATATACATTTAG